GATTAAGGTGCTGTCCTTTGGTTTTTTTTCTTTTTTTCTTTTTTTTTTTTTTCCTGTTCGGCGGCTGTCGAGAGGTCCCTGGTGTTCAGGAACGTAAGGCACATCAGGGTAGGAAAGATGGACAGCAGCCAGATAAAGACCGAGGCTGAGACGAACCGTACACCATTTCCTACGTTTTACTGAGAGAACTGAAACTGCAGCCCTGGATGTCCCGGAGGGTTGCGCCTCATCCGTGCCCAGGGTCTGCCCTGCCTCCCGCGCCCAGCAGGAGGAATTCTCCGTCCTCCCAAGGCAGCCTGTGTCAGGGCAGTTATCGCTGCTCTTCCCAGCTGTTGGATACCTTTTCCTTTCCGAGCACAGCCCCGCGACCCCCGTCTGAACTTCTGCCTGATTTTCAGGCCGTTCTTTGGCACAGAATACAGACGATCTCCTGGGTGATGCCAAAAAAAAAAAAATGAGCAGGGTTCCAGGGAGTTCATTTCCGTGTGAAACTTCTGGATTGGAGATGACCTGAAATGCTCCGGTGGGATGGTTGTTCGTGATGAACTTTCCCTCCGTTCTGAGGTCAATACTTGCTCGCTGCTGCTGTCACTAAGATCAGCTGAGGAGGTTCTGCTTTGGATTCCTGGAATTGAACTGTCCGGGATTGGCGGCAGGGTTTTGTCAGCGGTGATCTGCCCCTTGACAGATTGCCAGGGCCAAAGCCTGGCTGCCTGCAAGACGTAGCGACAAAGAGGGTGATGGAGTGTTCTGTTTCCAGTCCTGCCTAGGCTCCTGGCAGCTTGGGTACTGTTTTGATCGATGCACCCACTAGATTTATGTTGTGTGACCTGTAGTGTCACAACGCACTGCAAAGTTTTCTGTATAGATAACTCATGCAAAAGCTTTAACGCCATTTGTTGACCCTGCTGTCACGCAACATATTCCTTTCGTACTGAGAATCATCTTGCAGTTTCAGCGTAGCAGTCACGAGTAGCAAGGCTATAATAGCCTCATGACACAGGCTTGCGAGGCAGAACTACGACGACCTGCCTTACCAGGACCTCCTCCGTTTGTGCTCTTCCATGGGAGCTGAGCTTAGCAAGGTACCTCTCTTCCCTTGGAGCCGGGAAGCTGAAGATGAAAGGATTTGGAGGTCAAGTCATGGCGTTGGATTTGAATGCAGAAGACGGGGAGGCTGTTGAGTTTGCTTCTCACCAGCACGAGTGTGTCTTGTGTCTCACTGCGATCAGCCAGTGAAAGTGGAGTGTGTTAGGGCTGGGACTGCACGAGCCTTGGAGCTCCTAGCATGGTAGATTGTACGCTGCTGGTTTTGTCTTGTACTACTGTCGGAGCATTTCGCTGACACAGTGAAACCTCTATTCTTCTCAAGCAGCGTGCTAGTCTCCAGATTTCAGAAGAGCTGATGCACCCCCACATTAACTACATATGGTGGGGATGTGCCTGGAGCGTCAAATGACGTGAAAAATGTGATGTGAGGCTGCATGCGGGGACAGCCGGTGTTCCAGCAGGGTCTTCAAGCATGGGATCCCACCAGCAGGCACGCGTGCTCCTGCTGCTGCAAGGCACCGCTGCCTCTCCCATGTAACAGGTCTGCAGGATGGTCAGCGGGTCTGGGTCCTGGGGTCCCATGCAGGAGAGAGGCTGCTGTGCCGCGCTGGCGGCCTCAGAGCACCAGGCACCATGGTTGGGAAGCAGCGGTCGGATGAGAGAGCCTTACACGCGTCTGGTAAAAGGATCTGCAAGCTGCCGTGGATGTCAGGAGCAGCCTGGCCGCAGCGGCAGGGACTTGCAGTGAGCTCGTGTGCCTTGCTGAGAAACCTTGGTGTGTGCGCAGGGGGTTTTGGACCTCACAGCTATGTCATTCACAAGCCGTACCTCTTCAGACCCTTCGCGGACACAACCGTGGTGGCAGCATCTGAGGATGAGATAATCCCCTTATTCTTTCCTCTTGTAGACTTCCACAATGGATGAGACCTCAGACGAGCCTCCCACTTCCGCCGTCCTCTTAGACAACTGCCACTTCTCCCAGGTCGTCTTTAACAATGTGGAGAAGTTTTACGTTCCCGGAGGAGACATAACCTGTTATTATACCCTCACACAGAACATCGTTCCTCGCGGGAAGGACTGGGTGGGCATCTTCCGGGTAAGTGAATACTGTGAAACCAGACGTGCCGAGTATGAGGAGGCGGCAGCAGGCAGAAACAAATGGCTTCGGCTTTGGTAGGACAGGGCTGGGGAATGTTTTTTTCAGTAATAACCTTGTGTGATGGAAGATCTTTATTGTGCTTAGGGACAAAGTGCCAGACCTGTTGTGAGCTGAACAACTTCAAGGCTAATCAAACACTCCGATTATCCCTTCATGCATAGACCACAGCTCTCAGAAGTCAGGATATCAGTGCAAAAGTCCTCCCAGTAACTGATCCTTGTGGAAATATAGTCCCATTACCATAGGATAAACATGAACTGTGTGATGCCATATAACAACCTTGCTGTTGCAGGTGGGATGGAAAACGACCCGGGAATATTACACGTTCATGTGGGCTCCTCTGCCCAGTGACGCCCGCAGTGATACCGCTGTGCAGCAACAGATCCAGTTCAAAGGTGAGTCGGGAGCTTGGGTCACTCGGGGGATGTACGGGCACGTGCACACACAGGCACGCACACGCAGACTCCCACTTTGCGGCCACCAATAAGCACTACAT